CCCTCACTTCCAACACACTTATCCTTTGTTCTTGCCATTGTCTGAGGAGCCCTTTTTTGGGTCTTTAGCTGGATTGTCATTGGCCAGAATTGATCTAAAAGTTTACCTTTATGGTCATTTTTACTTTGGGGAAGAGCCAGAAGTTACATGGTGTCAAATCCAGTGAATACGGTAAATAAGGACACACTAATTTTATTTGACAGAAATTGCTGTTTGATTAATGAAGAGTGCTAAATTGCTGTTTGATTAATGAAGAGTGCTTAACAAATACAGTGAATATGTAAATTTAGGACTGGGGACTTAGCTCAGTGGCATAAGTGCCTGCCTCGCAAGCACATGGTCGTGAGTTCAATCCCCAGTACCAAAAAAAAAAAAAAAAAAAAAAAAAATGTAAATTTAAAAATTTACTATAGTAAAAGACACGCTGCCCTCCCCCTCTCTCAAAATACTCCTCCTCTTAGCAATGTGTCTTTTATTGCAATGCTTTTTTAAAAAAATCTAAACAGTTACTGTATTTTTCTATCACTCCTTTTGTGTGTAAGAAAAATTTTAGAAAGGGTCAAAGCTATTAGGCAAAGTTCCTTAATTTTATCATTTGAATACTTGCATCTGGGGGCTGGAGGTTTAGCTCAGCGACATAAGCGCCTGCCTTGCAAGCAGGCAGTCGTAAGTTTGATCCCTAGTACCCATAAAAAGGAAAAAGCCAAAAAAAATACTTGCATCTGACATTAACACCTTGCCACTAGAAGATGCTTAAATGTCTGCTGACTTGAATTGCTGTAGGATCAATTCCATGAACCACCACTTATGACAAGAATCTAAAAAGCAAAAAGTTTATTCTCTACAATCACAATGTATCACATAATTGCTTTTTTGTATACTTATAATGTCTCAGTACTGTCCTGTCAGCAAGGAAAAGTAAGCACACAACATTCCATATGCCCACACTGCACTAAGATAATCAGTACCAGTCTGGACCACTAACAAATCCTAGCCCTAAATTGCTACTTCGTTTGCATTAGAACATAAACTTAATTGGGAGGGAAAGTTACCCTCTTGTATCTTCAACATCTTCACCAAACCAACATATATTTCAGTACTCATTATCTTTTAAATAAATAATTGGGAAAAAGTCTTAAATAAAGTCCTAAATAAAGTTGTATCTAACCCCAACTAGTCTACTCTGGCTATTTACGTAAACTTCTCTGGCTGAGGACACTAAACAGATTACATATTTGTAGTCAGAAATCACACTGAGTGAGGAGGTCTCACAAGCCTCTTTGACCCTTTAAAGTGTCTTCCAGCCTTATAGGAAGGAAGAGTAGTCAAATGGTCCCTAGCTAAACCTCATTTTTTTGCTTTTTAGAATGATTGCTAAGCCAATTTAAAAACCCTGCAAGCATGAAACAAAAACTTAGGAACAATCAGTGGTTGAGAATGCCTGAAATATACCCTCAAAGTACATTCCCCAATAATACTTTAAATGAACAACAGAGCCATGTGCTAGTAATATTACTCAAATGTCCTAAATTTTTCTTATGAAGAGTATTTATCTAGAGTTATAGATTTTTATCCAAGTGTTCAATCTTACCATGGTTTCAAAAACACTTTGCTTTTGCAACTAGACTTTAATCTCCAACCAGACGTTTATCTCCACAGCCTCACTAATGTTACTCTTAATCAAGGTTACTACATTGCTAATCAGATGGTTAACCCTCAGAGCAACTAACACCATTGGCAACTCCCTACTCAACTGGCTTCATCTGGTTTTAGTGTTCTCAATGTCCCTCCTCTCTTCCCTGGCCACCACAATCGGAGGTAACTAAGTTCTGTAACCACTGCTTCCTTCCATCCCTACTCCCTATTGTCAGTAACACTCAGGTCACTCCAGCAGATCCTTCCCTCTTCAATTCCAGGCTCGTAAAACCAAGTGCCAGCCAACAGCTCCTTCCAATAGATAATTCAGTTCCACAAATGAGCTCCTGTTCTCCCCCCCACCACCTTGATTCTCTTTCAGTCTTCCCCATCACAGCAAGTAGAAACTACATCCTTCTAAGAAGTTAGCGCAAAACTCTTTCTTTCACAGAACATACATAGCCTACCAAAACTTGTTGACTTTATTGGAAAAGTATATACAGAATCAGAGTATGTGTCACCACTGTCCCTGCTATCCTCCAGCATACACCCTTGTCTTCTCTCACATTCAATCACAACACCTCGTGTGTGATTTGCTTGCTTTGCCCTGCCCAACCAACCACCACTCTACTGTCAACACAGTGGTTTGAGGAGTAATCACATCATCTACTGCCCAAGCCCTCTGACACTTCCTCTCTCCCTCAGCATCAGATTGAAGGTCGAAGGAAGAGCAGGCAACCTTGGAGCTTCCGGCAAACAGCTCTCAAATCAAAATCTCTCAGGCAGCCCATGTGAGAAGGCCCAGAAGGCACCACAGGAAAAGTGCCCAATCTGCCACCCTCAGGCACACATTTGTCCCAGGTGTCAGCACACATCAGGAGTGCTCCTTATGCATTGCATTCAAGCCTTTACTCAAGTGACGCTCTCTGTGAGGTCATCTGTGATTACTCAATCCCCTCAATTTAAACTGTTCCTATTCTCCTGTTTCCATTTTAAAGGCTACAAGAACACTGAGCATATGTCTATAATCCAGTTATAAGAGAGGCAGGGAAGCACAAGTTCAAGGGCAGTATGGGCAACTTAGTAAGACAGCAGCTCCAAAACAAAAAATATATATATAAAGTTACAGACTGTGTCTGTGAGGTTTTTTTTCTTAATTGTTTTTTGGAGACAGGGTCTCAATATGTAGGTCAGGCTGACTTTAAACTCACTCCTTGGCCCATGCTGGCCTCAAATTCATGGCAATCCTCCTGTATCAGCCTCCCGAGTGCTGGAATTACAGGTGTATACCACCATGTCTTGCAAAGACTGCATCTTTATATTGTTTATCTCTTCATATAATACATAAGCACTATGAGGGCAGAAATTTTTGTCAATTTTCTTCTCCCACTATACCCAGAACAGAGTAACCACTTAACATTTTTTAAAGTATAAAATAAAATGAGTTTTCTCTCCAATATAATAGTCACTAAACCTTTTAAAATGGTTCCTTATTACAGAAGTTGACTTTTCCCCAGCATCACGTACAACGAATGTGTGTTTTAAAATACAGTATACTAGGCTATACCAGGAAGCAAATCCAGTCTGAGAACCAGTGCCAACTGCAAGCCACCACCAGACCAGGAACAGCCAGACCCAAGTCTCTCCCCTTCACGGACTGAGGGGAGAAAGAACAAGGAAGCAAACCCAGTCTTTGAACTAGCGTCATGTGTGGGCTGCCACCAGACCAAGAACAGCCAGCCCCCAATCCCTGAGCTGGTACACAAGAAGTACCAATTCCTCCCACCCCATCCCCTGCGGTAAGTGACCGGCTTATCCAGTGAAACACAGGCTGTGATGATAGCTATTGAGATGAAATGCAATTGGGTGCCTGTGGTGCTTTGCTATTTCACTAACATTACAGGTCTAGGGCCAGTGGTCTGATCATAGGCTCAGAGGACAGTGGTATACAGTGTGACATGTAGCAGGGATTTCCTTCTGAGGGTTGTAGCCATTGTTGATTCTCTATGGTCTTGTTTTGAAGTCCTATATCATTTCCATTGTTTTGTTGGGTGGGGTTTATTCTCTTTTGTTTTGTTTATGTTAAATCTGATGGCAAAGATAGCAAGATATATTATGGTAGCAATTTTGGATTTACTATTGGCTTGTCTTGAAGTTGCATTCATTGTTTTGTTTTTATTATTTCTATTGTGTTCTGTTTGATTTTTACTATGTCTGCAGCTACTTTGAAGACATCAAAAGGCATTATGATAACTACTGCTGATTTCATAATGTTTTGTAGTCCTGTATCTCTGACACTAGTTTGTTTTGATTGGTTTTATTCTGTTTTATCCTCTTTAAAATAAAACAATAAAATACGATATACTAAGCAAGCACTGTATTTCCTGATTAAGAGTGGAGTCTCATACCAGGTGTGGGATGTGCATCTGTAATTCTAGCACTTAGGAGGCTGAGATTACAAGAGGATCACAGAGAGCTCAAGGCCAGCCTGGGCTGCATAGTGAGTTCAAGACCAGCCTAAACTCCATGGCAAGACCCTGTCAACCCCCCCCCCCCGAAAAAGAATCGAGAATTACAAATCTGATTAATGTTCATGGTAGGCCTATGCCATCAAAAGGTCACAGAAAGAAAAACTGAGACTGAGTGAAAAGAATGAGCATGCCTCAAACCTATGATGCAGTAATAATGCTTACACTGATCTTGAATACAAATTTTCTCATCTGATCCTCAACAATGCCTTAAACTGTAAAAAGTAAGTAACAATTTGCCCATTTTAGAAGTGAGAAAACAAACACGAACTATAATTCTCACGGTATGGCAATGATGTCAAAACTGAGACTGAAATCTCTCAATTTTTTGTTCAAAATCTATGTTGTCACACCTTCCCTTGCAAATGACACTGTACCAAGCTATAAAACTGTGTAAACATATATTACGTGGCAGATACTAACTTTTCCCAAAGGTTTACACAAAATGGGAACAAAGTTCACCAAAGTCACATTGAACTTGAAGAATTAAAAACTCAAACTGCTTCCTGTTACTAGTCCAGTGGTGGTGACCCTATAGCTCTGTACTGTAGAGGACTGTCTTGTTTCATTGAAAGTTCTAAAAGATATGCCATCACTGGTCCAACCAAATGTCCAACAAGATTCAGAAAGAATGTTAAGAAATGGCCTGTGAGACACAACCAGAAGTTCTTGTTTAGTCACTATAATTGCTAGACAGAAAATGGGAGAAATGAAAATGGAACAACTTAATGAAAGAAAAATGAGTTCTAGACAGGAAAGTGTTATTGTAGTATCATTATTTTGCACTCCCCTGAGGGCCTAAGTAATGTGATTTTGCACAAGAAGAAAAACACTTACCTCCTTAAAATCCAAGGAACAGTCTTCCTTTCTTTGCATAGATGAGAACAAACAGTTGTAATCCAAAATGTTTCTCAGAAAGTTCTTTTTTAAAAAAAGACATAGAAATAGATGATCCTTATAAAAAGAGATCCGATTTGGGAGGATGGACACTGTGTCTTCCAAATCCTGTGACCAGCTGCTCAACAAGCATCAGCATCTGCAGAAAGAGCTGACTGTAGGTACCTCTTCTCCAGAGGGTAACACCAGCTGGGATATAGGAACAAGAGAAAGAGAAAGAAATGCTACTGAGTGTTGAATACAGGTATCTTGGCTGACAGACATAACCAGTTCTCAGGCTCAAAACTTTTTTGAGTTAACATTAGCGCACATCAAAAGATCACAACGAAGTAATGTGTGTGGCCAACCCCAGTTGGCACTGGGATTTTAAATAACAGCAGCAAGCAAAGGTACATGACAGTGGGCAACCCTGCCTGATTACTAATAGATAAGTCAAACAGTAATGATGCAGAAAAAAAAATACGTCAAGTCTTAACAGCAAGATAATCATCATATCACACAAATATACATTAAATAATATAGTCTGTATCAGTGGTGGTGAACCTATGGCACATGTGCCACAGCAGGCATACAGAGCCTTCTCTGTCAACATGCAAGCCAAGTCCCCCTAGCAGCTTAGTATCAGAAAATAGTTGTTTTTTTCTAAACTGGTCTATACATTCTAAACAAATCAAGCATTCTGGCATTTTATAATAAAATGCAAACTGTGTCAACAGAAAACATAGAACAATCATGCAAAACTACATACAGAAGTCTATCAGAGAAACTAAAAGTTAATGTGGAAACTGAAGGACATTCAAGTTAACTTGACCTAGGGTAGTTTTGTATACCCCTGTTAACAAGTAATAGAACTGGAAACTTGTTATAATTCAGAAACAAATGCAGACAATACTTAATCCTGCCATATAACACATTTCTATCGAACTACAAATTACAGTATACTGAAATAAAACATTGTATGAAATTAACAGCAGAAGAACAGACTAATGAATATAAAGACACAGCAACAGACACTAGCCAAAACATAGCCAAGTACAGTGGCACACATCTGTTATCCCACCATCTTAGGAGGTGGAGGCAGGAAGATGACAAGTTAGCAAAACCTTGACTCAAAATTAAAAATAGCTCAGTGTAAAGGCCTTGGGTTCAATCTCCAGTACAGAAAGGAGGAAAGAGAAAAAAGGAGGGATAGAGTCAGATAGACTGACTCAGCATAGAGTGAGACTAGAAAAAAAGAACATAGTAGTGAGCTGAGCTATAAGACAATCTTAAGGAGCGTAATACCATGTGTAACAGAAATGTGCAATATATGGAGAAATAATAACCAAAAGTTTTCCAAATTTGATGAAAAGTTCACAGCTTCAAAAACCTCAACAAATACCACATACAAAGGGGGGTGAAAAAAACCAGGGCACATCAACATGAATTACTTAAAACTCATATAAGGGGCTAGGGATATAGCTCAGCAGTGTAAACACCTGCCTGGCAAGCACAAGGTCATGAGTTTGATCTCCAGTACCAAAAACAAAACAAACTCATAAGGAAAAAGCACTGTAGAAAATAAAAAGTACAGTGGTATCTTGGTTCATGAATTTAATTTTTTTCATGATTCTGGGTAAGAAAGCTACAGTCATGTTTGTCACCTGATACAGAGCCTGTGAACAAAAACAAAATTTTGCAAAACACTTTGATCTGCAAACAAAAATTGTTCACAAAGTGTTTATGAACCAAGGTACCATGTATTTTAAAATCATATGTTTGGTTTTGAATATCAAAATAATATCCAGGGAACTCTTAAAATTCCACAACAGTGTCAAAAATAACAAACAAGCAACTGGATTCAAAGTCAACAAAGGATCTAAACAGATGTGTCTACACAGAAGACACAGGAAAAGCCAGAAAGCCAAGGAGGAGATGCTCAGAATCACAGCCACTTGAAAATGCAGATCACAAGTATAGGGCAGATCAAACTGACTCCCACCAATTAGGGAGACTATTGTAAAAAACATTTTTTTAAAGGAAAAGAAGTCTTGGTAAGGGTGAGGAGAAAGTAGAACCCTTGTCAGCAGCATTATGCACACGAGCTAAAGCTAGAAACAACCCAAGTGTCTGTAAACAGATGAATGGATGTACTGCTCAGCTTTCTTGCTAGGACAAAACACCAGACAACTGCAACTTGAGGCAGAGAAGTTTATTTTAGCTCACAGTTTCAGAATTTTCAGTTCATGGTCAGCAGGCTCCAAGGCAGAAACATCATGGTGGAAGGGCAGGACAAAGGGAAAGCTGCTCAAGTAATGGAATGCAGGAAGGAATGAGCAGGAGAGTTCCTAGATAGAGTCCCAACGGCCAATCGCCCCCACTCCGTGACCCACTCAGACACTTGCAGAAATGTGCTTTACTTATTTCCTAGGAAACTCTGAAGCTGATCCAGTTGACAATAAAGAAAGTGCCACAATGGATAAACAAAACATGGTATGGACAAAAAGGGGAATATTATTCAGGCTTAAAGGAAAAAGCTTCCCCATATGCCACAATGTGGACAAACCTAAGGACACTGTGCTGTGTATAAGAACAAAAATCATAGTAAGACAAAACTGTGTAATTCCACTTTTATAAGGTAGCCAGAGTGATCAAGTTCATAGAAAACAGAATGGCAAGTGCCAGGAGTTGTGGGAGGGGAACTAAAGTTGGATTTCAAGGAATACCAAGCTTCACTTTTGCTGAGTTCTGAAGGTGATTGGTAATGACATTACACATTTTAAATCTACTTAATGCCACTAAACTATATATGTAAAAGAGTTATGGTAGCATATTTTATATCATGTGTATTTTACCACAATAAAATAAAAATTTTGAGAGCTAGGTGCAATAGCACATGCCTGTAATCTCTAGTTGGAGGCCTAGATGAGAAGATTATGAGTTGAGACCAGCCCAGGAAAATTACCAAGATCATGTCTCAAAAAGAGAAAAGAATCACCATTATGCACTGAGGGAAAAGGGTAATTCAACAACAGCAGACTTCGCAGAGGAAGTGAAAGCTGAAAGACAGTGATGCAACACCTTTAAAGTACTAAAAGAATAAAACTAGAATTCTATTCCCAATATAGTATAGTATAACTTCCACAGTATAGTACAGTATAACTTCCACAAATGAAGGTAAATTAAAGAAATTCTTCAGAAATAGAAGAGCTAAAGAGTTCATCACCAACAAATCTTTACTATAAGATGCGCTGAAAGGAGTCCTTCCCTCAGAAGGAAAATGATACCACAGAGAAACTTGCAGCTACACAAAAGAACAGAGTCCTGAAAATATAACTACACAGGTAAATAAAATATACATGCATGACAGAGACTTTAATTAGAGAAAGCATATTCATTTCCATTATTAAAGAAAGTACCAAGAATTTTTAAGCATTCATATCGCCCAACATGCCAATCTTCGAAAAATTCAAAGCACCTTGATTAACAGAGCCTAGTTCCTATCAAGTTTTCCTGTACACCAGAATATTATTCCTATTGTTATTTATTATTTTAATAAAAAGAAATTCTGAGGTAAAAACCATTTGAAAAAGAGTGTGTCTTTCCCAGTCACAGAATTTAACATCTTCCTGACTCCAGTCTGTGTTCTATTACACAGTGGTTTCCAAACCTTTTTGGAGGATGTGTCTACAGAGGAAATTCTTAAGATAGAAGTATGACAGTGGTCAACATATAATTTATCTGCTTTTCAGTGTCTCTAACCCTAAAATCACTTACAAATAATCTACAAAAACAGCAAAGAATGCTCCTAGCTTTTAAGAAATCTGAAAAACAACCCTAGGTTTCAATGAATTGCTGAGGGTATCCCAAACTGGAAAAGGAATTTTTTTTTTTTTTTTTTGCCAAGTCTCTGTAAGGAAAATTAATTTGTCAAGCAAAGAGGCCAAAGCAATGGCTGCAAAACAAAGCTTCGGAGTTAGATGTTGAAAAAGAAAATGGAAGGCAGTATCTGACACTATTCTATTATAGTTCAAGCCTCACAGGGAATGTGGTTAGTAAGAATAAAATCTCTGTATTACAGTATCACTGATGGCAGGAAGATCACAAAATGCTGACTGTCCCTTGGAAGACATCATGTTTAATGCAATCCACACATTTTGGTTCTCTGATGTCACAGCAGGACTTACAACTCAACTGCACATGATTTCTCATGCCACTCTGAGACTAACAGTTGTCTATAATGTAACTCCTCCAGCACAACTCCAAAGGAAGATTACTGATTACTGGCACCAACAGTCTTTACTCTATAAAATGGAGCCAAGAAACAGGAAAATTACGAGATTTAGTATTCACTAATGAAAACCATGGCAAGAAAAAGCATTCTTTCAGCACTCTGCTCCAGTTGAAAACACTAGGTACCGTTCTACTTGATAACAAGTTTGTTCAGATAAATACACTAGTTATACATCTGAATAACTGAAAACGTATGTTCAAAAGAATTTATACAAATGCTTAAAGCAACTTTTTTTTTGTGAGAGAGTTTAAGTTACTCAGACTAGCCTCAAATTCCTAGGCTTAAATAATCCTCCTGCCTCAGCCTCCCAAGTAGTAAAATTACAAGTACATGCCACCACACCCAGAAAATCAGTATTATTATTATTTTTTTTTTTATTGGTACTAGGGATTGAACTCACAACCGCCTGCTTGCAAGGCAGGTGCTTATGCTGCTGAGCTAAATCCCCAGCCCCATCAGTATTATTCTTAATGGCCAAATAACAGAAACAACTCAAAAGTCTATCAAGTGATAAACAGAGAAACAAAATACGCTATGCCTATATTATAAAATATCATTCAGCCTTAAAAAAACATAAGCCAGCTCAGTAGCATAAGTGCCTTGCTGGCAAGTGCAAGGTCCTGAGTTTGATTCCTGCTACCAAAAGAAAAGAAATACCAAACATGCTACAATACAGATAGTTGCTGACATTCAGTGGATGAAGGCAGGAACAAAGGCTATTGATTATATGATTCTATCTAAGCAGACAAACCCACAGAAAAAAATTCTATTGATAGTTTCCAGGGAATGGGAAGGGACTGTTTAATGTGTACAAGACTTGTTTTGGGGGTGAAAAAATGTGGAGTTTAACAGTGGTGCAGATTGTGCAGTACTATAAATGTCAGCTGAGAGCAGTGGCACACACCTGTAATCACAG